GCATCGTATTTTCAGTTGAGAAATAAAGCTACCAGAAAATTCTTCCATAATTTGTTTTCTTTTACTTTTCTTATTCTGAGTTTGTATTTGGGTATAGCAGATCCTAAGCTTTGATATCCAAAACTTGGTATCAGAGCCCTGTTCATGCCCAAATACCTCCGGTTGCGAGAGATGTCTATCGTCACACAAGGGAGAGAAAGCGGTGGAGTACCGTTTTAGTGTCCGTCATTGACATTGACAAATTACACGACTTGGTCTATCAGAATGGAGGCTATTTTGGATGCCCAAGGTTTATGGGAATCCATTGAACCACCTGTCGGTGTGACGGTGGATGAGAAAAAGAACAAGTCGGCAAAGGCGTTCATCTTTCAAGCACTACCGGAGGATATTCTTCTCCAAGTATCGAAGAAGAAGACTGCAAGGGAGGTCTGGGACTCCCTAAAAACTCGATATCTTGGAGCAGAAAGGGTGCAAAAGGCAAGGATACATACACTCAAAAGTGAATTCGAGGCACTTCGTATGAAAGATGGAGAAACTATCGATGAATTCACCGAGAAATTGAGTGGGATGGTATTAAAGTATAACAGCCTCGGGGCAACACTCGAAGACGGGGTTCATGTCAGAAAGTTACTTGACTCAGTGCCGGATAAATTCCTGCAATTGGTGGCCTCCATAGAACAATATTCGGACGTGGATTCTATGCCTTTTGAGGTGTTCAATCCGAAAGAAAATAAGGCGGTTGTAGCTCGGGATGTTGTTTTTGATGAAAAAAAACAATGGGATTGGACCTTTGTCCAACATGGCGAATCCACATTGAAAGAGCCATGGATTGGTGGTTACGTTAATCAAAGCCTCAATGAGCAAGTCCAAGAAGAGAATGCAACCAGTGATGAAGATGAAAATCTTTCTCCCACAAACAATGCAAGCCTACCTCAAACTCCAGAACCTTCCTCACCACTCACAAGTAATCAGACAGGTGAGTCATCAAGTGGAAATCCCTCCATAGCAACTCGACCGGTTTCTACAACACAACTGGAACTAAATGTAAGTCCCTCGACGTATGATCACACACCTGTTCGTGGGTTTCGATCGTTATCTGACATTTATGCTAGAGCACAACCGGCAGAAGTTGAACAAGATGAGTTGATGCTTGCTGGGGATGAACCTACAACCTATGAAGAGGCTGCCGGTGAGCAGTCCTGGCGTGAGGCAATGAAAGCGGAGATCGGGTCAATCGAAAAGAACCAAACATGGCAGCTTACGACTCTCCCTTCAGGTCTCAAACCAATTGGTCTCAAATGGGTTTTTAAAACAAAGAGAGATGCAGAAGGCAATGTCGTGAAGCACAAGGCGCATTTGGTGGCAAAGGGATATGTTCAAAGGCAGGGAGTCGATTTTGAAGACGCATTTGCTACAGTGGCCCGAATTGAAACCATCCAATTACCATTGGCTATGGCAGCGATGAAAAGTTGGACTGTGCATCATTTAGATGTAAAGTCAGCTTTCTTGAATGGGGAATTACGRGAGCAAGTATACGTAACTCAACCAGATGGGTTCGTGGTGAAAGGAAAGGAACACATGGTGTATCGACTTCATAAAGCTCTATACGGTTTACGCCAAGCTCCTCGAGCTTGGAATACTCGTCTCGACAGAGAACTTAAAGAATTGGGTTTTCTAAAGTGCCTACATGAGCAAGCAGTTTATCGATTTAATAACTCCAAATTTATTTTGTTGGTTGGTGTATATATAGATGACTTGATTGTTACAAGTTCAAGTGAAGATCAAAGTGCAAGTTTTAAAGAGAAAATGAAGCAGCTTTTTGAGATGAGTGACTTGGGTCACTTAACATATTATTTGGGGATCGAAGTCCGACAAACGAAAAACGGAAATCGAATTAAAGCAAACTGGGTATGCAAAGAAAATATTGCAATCAGCAGGCATGCTTGACTGCAATTCTACGAAGACTCCCATGGAACAAAAGTTCAGTTTGTCAAAGGATGCAGACGGAGTTCCGGTGAACGCTACAGATTATCGTCGCCTCATCGGGTGTCTACGTTACCTGATTCATACGAGACCCGACCTCGCTTACTCAGTCGGGTTCATCAGTCGATACATGAATACGCCAAAGAGTCACCTGAAAGCGGTGAAACAGATTCTACGTTATGTGAAAGGTACTTTGCAGCTTGGTCTAATTTATGAAAGAGGTGGCGACGGGAAGCTAAGTGGGTACAGTGACAGTAGTCACAACATGGATCGGGATGATGGGAAAGGCACAACAGGAACTATGTTCTACTTCTCAAACAACCCGATTAGCTGGTCGTCACAAAAGCAACATACGGTGGCCCTATCCTCTTGTGAAGCTGAGTTCATAGCAGCAACGCCAGCGGCGTGCCAAGCCGTGTGGTTGAAAAATCTGCTCAAGGACCTAACCGGTTGGGAAAGCTCAAGTGTTAGGTTGTATGTCGATAACAAGTCGGCAATCGCCTTAATGAAAAACCCTGTATTTCATGGACGCAGCAAGCACATCGATACTAAGTATCATTTCATTAGAGAATGTGTCGAGAGGAAGCTAATCATTGTGGAACATGTTAGCGGAGAGGAGCAATTGGCTGACATTTTGACCAAGGCACTGCATCGGGTCAAATTCGCTGAAATGAGAAGCTTGTTAGGAATGAAGACGATGGAAGATTAGAATTAAGGGGGAGAATGTTAACGGTAATTCTATGTGGTCAAGGGTTGACTGAGTTTGTGGGAGGTAAACGTGGAGGCATCCTGATCATTAGGAGATGTGGCTAGTAGTAAAAGATGTGGCTAGTGGTAGCTAGTAAATTTCCTTTATTTTAGCTAGTTTGTTATTCCCAGTAGGAGTTTAAATATCATTGCTGTTGTTTTTTCAAG